TCGGTTGGCCACCAGAACTAAAGAGTCGGCCATGGTGATGGTGTGGGCCGCCATAACAGCCGATGGTCGCTCTCCGCTCGTATTAATCAACCATGGCATCAGAATAAATATCAAAAGAGCTAAAGAGTTGCTTCGCTTGGCCGAAAGTGGTGAACTGCCGAATTTGGGTTTCTCCGATGAGAAAACATTCGTTGTCCAGCAGTTTACAAACAAAATTATCATGTTTACTTGCCAAAGAGGTCAGCTGAAAACGTGCACTTTCCATTGGCCACCAGAACTCAAGCGCCGGCCATGGTAATGGTGTGGGATGTCATAAAAGTCGAAGATCGCTCTCCGCTCGTATTAATCGACTGTGGCATCAGAATAAATGCCAAGAGAGTTAAAGAGTTGCTTCGCTTGGCCGAAAGTGGTGAACTGCCGAATTTGGGTTTCTCCGTCTCCCATGAGAAAACATTCGTTGTCCAGCGGTTTGTAAACAAACAAAATGATCGTGTTTACTTGCCAAAGAGATCAGCTGCAAATGTGCACCTTCGGTTGGCCACCCGAATTCAAGCCATGGTGATGGTGTGGGCCGCCATGATAGCCGATGATCGCTCTCCGCTCGTACTAATCGACCGTGGCATCATAATAAATGCCGAATATTATCGCGAAAATATTCTGGAGAGTGTATTAAAGCCTTGGGCATGCAAACATTTTGGCCGCAGACCTTGGACATTCCAACAGTACTCAGCACCATCGCACTCAGCACGCGCCACCCAAGAATGGTTACAAAATGAGGTTCCTCACTTCATTTCCGGCGCACAATGGCCATCAAAATCTCCGGATACCAATCCGTTGGACTATTGTGTCTGGAGTATGGTGGAAAGCAAGTTTGGCACTAAAAAATACCAAAGTGTCGATCATATTAAGCAAGCACTTCGCCGAGAATGGGTCAAAATACCGCAGGGCAACATTCGGGCAGCGGGTGATGGTTTCATTGGCCGTTTGAAGGCCATAAATCGTGTCAAAGGTGACCAATTCGAACAAATCCAAACTTATTCTAAAATTTGATGCTATTTCCGATATTTTTTGCTTTCATTCAATCAAATTTGAAAAAAAAAAGTAAAAATTATGGGATTTCTTCAACAGAAAGCTTTATGAGTGTTTATGCAAAAATCTCCTAAAAATCTTAATTTTAAAAGAATGACTTCAAAGACAAATATATTCGTCATCAAATTTCACTATAAGTCACCAAAGAAAAGAAAGCTGTATTTCCATGGAAAATGATAAAAATATTTGTACCAATGTATCCAAAGAAAAAACCAAATATATTGCCTAACTTTCTTTATCAATTTTTCTTCGGCCTGAAAAGTAACATCAAATTTGATATTAGGCAAATGGTGTCAAAAGAGGAAATATTCTGCACAAAATTTCACTGTAAATCTCAGAATAATGTATATATCTATGTGTTGGGGCAACCCACATTAACAATATGGCATCTCATGTTGCAACATCCTATACGGCAACGCCCATATAATAGGACGCCGTGCTACCGCCATTTTAGCTTGCTCAGTCTTGTTTTGTCTGTCACTCGAGTCTGACTCACTACATTGTAACTTCTTCATTCCTTTTTAAATTAGTAGCTGTGAACGCTCATCATCCAATAAATCTTTACACCTTTAGTATTAACAAACATTGGCTTTTATTTCAAACTATAAAAGTACAACAAAAGTGGCGACGAGGATAGTGGAAATTGATCAATAATTGCACACACAACAATCCGCAAAAATGTCTCAAGACATAATTCTACAATTGTTAACAGAGCAACAAAAAGCAATGTCGCAACAAACGCAACTGCTAAAGCATATGGCTGATCTTCTTCAAGCACAAGGAGCACCAAATTCACCCCACTCACCACAAACATCAAATTCATCCAAAGCAGCACTAATGGAATCACTAGCACAATCAATGACAGCATTCGTATACGAGCCAGAGAGCGGTCTGATATTTCAAGCGTGGTACAACAGGTTTGTGCATGTTTTCGAAAAAGAAGCAAGCTCACTCGAAGAACATGACAAAGTGGCCTTGTTATGGAGAAAAATGTCGAACCAAGTACATGAAAGATTTGCCAACTACGTATTACCAGCAAAACCTGAAGACATGACTCTAAAGGATACAGTAGAGAAACTCAAGAAACTCTTTGGTAAAACAGAAACACAAGTCTCACAAAGATACAAATGCCTTCAGCTAGCAAAAGGCGACAGCGAAGATTTCAGAGAATACGCAAGCAGAGTAAACCTACAATGCGAACTATTCAAAATGAAAGAACTGAAAATCGACCAATTCAAATGTCTCATTTTCGTCTTAGGACTCAAGTCAGCAAAGGACAACGACATAAGACTTCGCTTACTAAAGGTACTGGATGATGAAAACACTACAATGAACCTAGATCAACTAGTAGACGAAACACAACGAATTCTAGATCTCAAATCGGACAACATTCTCATTGAACATCAATCAAAAATCGTCTGTTCACTCAACAAGCACGCAAAAGACTTTAAGAAGCACAAAACACCCAATTCACCCTGTTGGTATTGCGGAGACCTTCACTACGTCAAATTTTGTCCTTTCCAGAAACATAAATGCACAACATGCAATCAAGTGGGTCATAAAAATAACTTTTGCAACATCGCTAAGACTGGTAAGAATTTCAAATCATCGTCTGAAAACAACCAGAAAGAATTCAAGAAATACAGCAATTCAAGGAAATCATTCAAAACTAAGGCAGTTTTCAAAACACACAACATTAATTTCCGCGACTTAAGGAAATACACAACTGTCCTAATTAACAACAATCCTGTAAAACTTCAAATTGATACTGCATCAGACATATCAATTGTATCTATCAACACATGGAAAGCTATAGGTAAGCCTAAAGCCTACGAAACTTTTGACAACGCTAGCGACGCAAACGCAAACTCAATCAAGCTCCTAGCAGAATTTCAATGTGACGTCACAATCGACAAAACATCAAAAACATTAAAATGTTATATAACAGATATAGAAAAACTCAATATCATGGGAATCGATTGGATTCAAGCATTCAATCTATGGCAGAAACCAATAACCTCATGGTGTCATCAAATAAACTTCGTTGATGAAATAGCAGAATTGAAAACGAATTATCAATCAGTTTTTGATAACAGTACCCCAGGTCTGTGCAAAACAAAAGTCAACAATCACGAAAAACCAGCAGATGACTTTATAGTGGCTTCAATATCATTCGAAGAAGACATACGTAACGAGATAAATGAAACTATGTCAGTTCTCCCAGTATCATTTAAAATGATCGTCGATGCAACAACAAAACACACGGATTTACAAATGGTCCTCAAATACATTCAAACAGAATGGCCAGAAAGCAAGAAAAATATTAACCCATCAATTATTCAATTTTTCAACCGCAAGGAAAATCTTTCAACCTTCGATGGTTGTATTCTCTTCAATAATCGTATAGTAATTCCTAAATCATATCAGAGACAAATCTTACAACAACTTCACAGAGGACACTTATCAGCAGAACGCAGCAAAGCCATCGCCAGAAGTTATGTTTATTGGCCAAACATCGACAAACAAATTGAAGACTTTGTTCGGAAATGCAAAAATTGTCAACATGCGGCAAAAAGTCCAGTAAAAACAAATCTTTGCCCATGGCCATTAACTTCACACCCTCTTGAAAGGATACATATAGACTATGCTGGTCCAGAAAAAGGTAAATATTATCTTCTTATCATCGACTCGTATTCAAAATACCCTGTTATATACGAGACAACAACGACAACCACATATGCAACATTAAAAATGTTAAACGAATATTGTGCACTCTTCGGAAATCCTGAACAATTGGTCTCGGACAACGGAACACAGTTCTGTTCAGAACAATTTGAGAAGTGGTGCAGCAAAAAAGGCATTAAACACACAAGGACTGTTCGTTTTCATCCAAGTTCAAATGGACAAGCCGAGCGTTTCGTTGATACACTTAAACGTGCATTAAAAAAACTAGAAGGGGAAGAAACGCCTACGGAATCTCTCCAAACCTTCCTAGAAGTCTACAGATCCACACCAAATCCAAATGCACCAGAAGGTAAGTCTCCAGCAGAATCCTTCATCGGAAGAAAAATGAGAACGGTCTTCGACGTTCTAAGGAAGCAACAATCGCCTGAGTATAACGTCAATCACAAAATGGAACAGCAGTACAATACCAAACACGGTACCAAAAACAGAGAGTTTAGCAACGGAGAATTGGTCTATGCCAGAAACTTCAAAGGAAACAAAAGTTACTGGACAACAGGCGAAATAGTCGAGCGTAAAGGGAAAGTCATTTACAACACTCTAATCGACGTTGGGGACAGGAAAATTCTAGTACGAGCTCATACTGATCAACTTCGACATAGAGAATCGGTAGAGTCAAGCAGACAAGAACGACAAAAACTACCATTGGACGTACTACTTGAAGAATTCGAAATCGCTTTGCCTAACCATCAAGAACATTTTGCAACTCCAACAGGTTCACCAAACTGGACACCTCAAAGAATAACAAGTCGCAGACAACCAGTCGATCCTATTTCAAGATCACCTTCTCATCTTAAGGAGGGAGATGTTGGGGCAACCCACATTAACAATATGGCATCTCATGTTGCAACATCCTATACGGCAACGCCCATATAATAGGACGCCGTGCTACCGCCATTTTAGCTTGCTCAGTCTTGTTTTGTCTGTCACTCGAGTCTGACTCACTACATTGTAACTTCTTCATTCTTTTTAAATTAGTAGCTGTGAACGCTCATCATCCAATAAATCTTTACACCTTTAGTATTAACAAACATTGGCTTTTATTTCAAACTATAAAAGTACAACACTATGTATAATAGTTTTCAAAGAAAATTGGATTTAAGAAATAAAAGTGTCGAAAACTCTCATTCATTCATTTTTGTTTACCAAATATTTCAAACAAAACACCATTTTAATTTTAACATAATTCATTTTATTAGTAGTGAAATATCATCAATAAACTTTGTTAATACATTTTTTTAAATTTTTTTTTCATTTATTTATTTTTTTTTTATTCTCTCGTTTTCGTTATAAACCTATTAGAGTCGTGTACTTTGTTTGTTTTCTTCGTTTATGGCATTTCACATTCAATTTAAAGATTTGAGTTCAAAATAAAATGATCACTACCAAAAAAAAAAAACAAGAACTTTCGTACATACATTACATCACTTGAATTACATTATTTAAAAATATAATTAGAAAAAAAAAGTAAATGAGAAACATATCTACATACTTAAGTTTAAGCGTTTTTTGTTTTTCATTTCATCATCGAACTGTAGAGAGTTAGGCTTCATTGGTGTTCGTTCGTTTGATTTGTTTTGTAGAAACTTTGCGTTCACCCGTCCGTCTATCCCATCCAGGAGTAGTAAAATCTCCCATCATTCGATTTCCTTTAGAATCTGTTTGTGAGCGAATCACTTGAGTATAGTTTGTAGAAATTTTCCATGGAAGTTATTTCATCAAATGGGATAACGATTCATCACGACGACGACAAAAACAAACAACAACAAGTTGTGTTTATTTTTGATCATTTGACGTGCAGACGATGACATTGATGCTGATGCTAATGATGACTTAAATCCAAATTTGTTTATGCTATGACCTTAAACCCAACAGAGGAGTTGTTTCCGCTGCAGCGGAGGCAGAGTTTGTGGTGACAATGGTATCCGTTGAGGTACCAGGTCTTATCACATTCACCTCTGTGCCAGGATCTGATGGTGGCTGGTGGTGTTCATCGCCTTCGGCAATAAACATTGGGTTTTCTTGTACAGTTTTGTGATGCATTTCATGCAAATACAGGACACTGAGACACATATCGGCTACGGTTAAATCTTGAGGCTTATCATAGCATGCTGCACTGGCGGGACCATAGAGACTGCATATTAACGACTCTGATGGCCCATTAATGCTACCCTCCATTTTGGAGGCCCCCAATATTTTGGCATTTTCATCACGGCGCATAGTGCCCATCATGCGTCGCGAGACACTCATATTGTCCTGCATACGTGAATGTTCTCCCAGGCCCTGCTGTAGCATTTGCTCAAAATAACACTGGCAGTGATTTGGATTTTGGCCCATTGCCTCCTCACCATTGTGGACATTGTGATGGAACAGCAATGACTTGGCAATCGATGAGTATTCATTTCCAATAGTGCCAAACGACACCAAACTTTCCGTCAGGGGATTCAAGGTGAATTCCTTTTTCTTAAGCTTACTCAAATCGGTGAGGGCATTCTGGCGGACACCATTTACAAATTGCACGGCTTCGGGAGGCATTTGCCATTCAGGATTAGTCAGCGTAAAACGTAGCAAAGACAACTCCGTCTTGCCATTATTGCCAGCCGTTTGCATTTTTTCACCCAACGGCACATCGGCGTGCAGGGAAGACATCTCACCCGGCTGCCATTCTGGATTGCCATGTTTACGTACATCCATCTGGGCAAAGGAGCAAACATTGCCCACACCCCTCACGGAAACGGTGAAGCTACGGAAAAATTTAACAATTTCCAAAGCCTTTGGACGAAAGACAAACAGCAGCTGGAAAGGCGTCACAATGGGACTCAGTATCTCATTGATAAAATAACTGGCCTTAAATTGGAAGAAATTTCCAAATTCATGTCGCACCATCGAGGTATGGGCTTGATTTTTCCAATTTGCTGGCAAATAATGGACATGAGCCAATATAGCATTCATCAATTGTTCCGGGCACCAAATCAAATTCTCGTTGGGTATACAGTTGCGACACACCAGTCCAATGGCAGACAACAGAGTGATTATCGTCAATACATGTTCCACTTGGAAGACATATTCATCATAAATACCCATGGCCAATATCAGCAAAAGCATGCCACCGGTGATAAATAAAATATTCCTGGCAATCACCGCCAACAACGGTGAGGAGAATGAGTTTAAATAACGATCCGCATACTCATAGGCCCGATTCAATCTGGCATCCAATTCATGATCCAATTCATTGAAATGCCTCAAATACAATCTGCCGTAATTCGACCAAGTTCTCATGCCCAAGGCTCCCGGTTCCTTTTTCAAGATATTTGCATAGGTAAATGAAAAATACACCAATTGCCAGATGAAAATAATTGGAGCAAACACCAGATTTGCTATAGCTACCCACAAAATCAGTTTTGACAGACGATTGGCCAACTCTCGTTGATTACCCCTCACCGAATAGTCATCGTGTAGCTGCCAGTTATTTTGAAACGGTGATCCTGGACTGCGAAACAATATCAAATCAATGTTAAACAGCAGTCCCCTGCTCAGCGTCACCACCTCCCCCACAATAGGTAGGGTAAAACGTACAGGCAGCAAATTCTTATTCATCAAGGCCACCAAATAATTCTTAAAACGCAATATCCGATGATAGATATCCAAATCCGTTAAATGGTCTTTATCAATGCACATATGCTGTTCCGCCTGGACCTCACGCACCTTCTTTTTAATCTCATGCCAAGTGACATTATCCAAATTGCCATCCTCGATGTGCAGGGCTGTGTTATAGAACTTCTTAATGTCCCAATACTGGGAGATGTGATACAGCACCTTGATAGTGCGTATTAACAAATACAGAGCTGCCACAAACAATATCGAATAGGTGAACCCATTGAAATTGTCCACACACACATCCATGGGTATTATAACATCATCTATCGTTATCTTGGTATGATTGTCCGCTGGCATGGTGTGACCAAACAGTACATCATGATTAATACAATGGACGGCGAAGGTTACCAACCACACAACAAAAGCAAATTCCACCAATTGGAAAAACTCCTCCAGCACAATTATCAGGAAACCATGCTTCTGATGATAGTGATACATTCGCGTAAAGAACGAATCTAAATCTTCAATGTGATTCCATCGTGCCCTATTGATTTCGGGCACTGTGTGCAAAAGAACACCACTGCTTCTTGGTGTATCTTCCACATCGTTCGCTTCGTAGGCATGACCTTCAGTCATAATTTTATGCTGCTGCTGCTGCTGCTCTTCATTTAACGTCTTATAATTCACATTCGTATGGGCCATCGACGTTCGATCTGACGTAGACGCACAAATTATTATTGAAATGTTTTCTTTGAATTCGAAATATATTCTATGTTTCGCTGCTAGATGATGATGATTTCTTTGTTTTCAGAAACAACAACTCAGAGAGTTGAGAGAGTGAGTACAAGAACAACACAACGCACAACAACACTTTTTATTTTTACATAAACAGTCGTTCGACAGCTGTTGTTTTTCTTATGCATAGGGTTATGTAGATCGATGTGTGGAATAATCGATGAGAAACGATTTGTTTATCGAAACAAACATATGTTGATGTATGTCGTCGATAAATAGGGTATTTATACGTTGTGGAGCGTTTATACTTTTGAAGATTAACGTACTGGGTTATTTATTTATTTATTCTTTCACTTGTAACACAGAGAACTTCATGGCATGGATAATGTATTACCATGGCAGAAGAATACAGGTAGATGCATCAACGCTTGGGAGCATTGGTATGTCAAAAAATTTAAATGTTTTTCAAATATAAATAGAATTTTATATGTTTTCTTATACTACGTCATTCGGAGGCTATTATAATTCGCGATTTTCAACAATTTTTACAAATTCAAATAACTTTTCATTCAACATATTCAATTACAAAACTGGTTTGACAGTTCATTGTCCCAGCAGCTGTGTCGACGCGTCTACCTATAAGCATTATAATAAATACTAGTCATTTCATGGTTGAAGATTGCAGCACAACTGCGGGGACAATGAACTGTCAAACCAATTTTGAAATTGAAATTGCTGAAAGAAAAACTATTTAAATTTGTAAAAGTTGTTAAAAATACGTATCATAGCAATCTCCCATTGACGTCGTACAAATCTACTTAGTTTTGAAGAAACATTTAAAAAAATTTTGATCTGACATCGGCCCGTAAAATACAACACTGTTGTCATTTTTATCTGAACGAAACGTGAATATTCTGCACAAAATGTTTTGTTAAATGAGATCGAGTGAATGGAACAATTTTGACAATTGAGTTACTAGAAATTTGGAAAATCGTACTGGAAATAATTACACACTAAAAATTATCCGTATCTACAGCAGATTGGAGAACAGCTGTTTTCTGGCCAATGCAAACAATTGTTACACATTTTAGCCAATAATTAAAAGGTCGAAAAAAGCAGTGAAAGTATGTTTACATCTACTAAATCGAGTGAGTTTCAACTGTCAATTTCATTGAATAAACGTCAATTTAAATCCGATGGATTTTAGAGTCGGTGGCATTGACGGTTGAAATCTACTCGATTTAGTAAGTGAAAACGTACTTTAACCCATGGTACAATGAAGAGAAGGTAGGCCAACTTTGAAAAACATGCAAGTATAGAGGTCTACCTGTTTGGCTTGTAATGTCAGAATTACTATCAAAACAATAAAAAATCAAACAACTTTTTGCATTTATTTTTGAATAAATAATTGAATGAAAGGTCAACACTTCTTTTCAAAAACATGTACTACATATCTCTAAAGGATTATTTCGCTACAAAAACTCTAGATTTTGTCGATGCATGCGGTGATATAAACATTTTGAAAACACCCGAATTTGAATGTTTTCTGAACCAATTTTTTTATTAAAAAACAAAAAACAGATACATAAACGAATAAATATGACATATTAAGCCATGAAAATAAAAAAAAAAAATTAAAATCATATGGTATCACAGCCCTACCTTGATATCATTGTACCATGCTTTAACCAATAATTATGAGCTTTGGCGGAGATATTCTGGCTGGATGCGATGGAGATCTATTTCAAGCCTCCCATGAGCGCCAAAAGTATGATGAGTTCTTGATAGCCATGGAAGTCCAATTTTAATTTTTGGAACTTTACTTTTATATGGGGGCCACTAGATCGTTAATATCTGTACCCACTAGGACAATGTGTGCCTGGATTAAAAAATCGGCTTTTTGGACAAAGGAATTTTAGATTGACATAGTTTGATTTCGGCCCTAGGCTTCTTTCTTATTTTCCGAAGAAGACAGTCTGAAAATCGTTTCATGTATTCTCACCTTTACCTTGTCAATGTCAAGGTTCCCATCTCTAGATTTACAGGGTGATATAAAAAAACTGCAACCAAATTCAGACTGCTGTCATTTCTAAGCCACTCGTCTGACAACTGTTAAAATTATTCCAGTGACAGCTCATTATATTGTTTACAAGCGTACAGAAGCATTTTGATGAGAATTTTCCAGAAAAAATCTTATTCGTAATGGAGTTCAAGCGCGATAGTGTGATTTCTTTATATTGGAAGCGGGCATATCCGCTGTATTTCTGTAGTCTTACGAAGCTGTTCTACCTAGTTCGATTTTGGCCCTAGGCTCCTTTGTTCATTTCCGAAGAAGCCAGCCTAAGACTTAAGCCAGCCAGATAAGCATATTTGGCTGACTTAAGTCATTGGCTGGCTTCTTCGTAGATGAACAAAGGAGTTTTAGGTTGACTTAGTTCGATTTTGGCCCTGGGCTCCTTTGTTTATTTCCGAAGAAGCCAGCCGATGACTTAAGCCAGCCAGATAAGCGCTTTATGTATTTCCAGCTTAAGACTTAAGCCAGTCAAATAAGCGCTTTATGTATTCCCACCTTAAGAATGATTTCATACAAATTAATAATATATTAAATAAATTAATAATATATTAAATCTTAATAACCCGCCGTATTCTACCTAGTATGCTTCTACAAATTAACGTTCGTATGTACATATGTATTTCCGTATTGCGCAGTTTCTTTTGAATTTTACTAATTCGACGAAATAAAAAGAACCCTTTGCCGATAAAACAAAAGCCCTAGTACTTTCCCCCAAATTAAATTTCTTCGGCAAAAAAACAAACAGCAAAATATTGCGATTGTGGTCATTCACAGTTTATGGTCTTAAACGTTATTTATTTACCCTCGTATCATTGATTGGCGATCAATTTTTAATTAAAATAAGATTGTCGGCCACAAATGTTATCTACCAAGTCCGTCGCATATATAATATTATTGACGACAATGGTTTATGATAGGGATTATTAATTTTTTGCAAGCGCAATAAGGTATCCCAAACCAAAAAAATATATATATTTAAATAATTAATTAAATAAAAAAATACGTATTTACATTGAATTGGAAAAACGGTATCACGAATAATGTGCAATTCTTTCCTTTTCGGGTGTTCCCTTTGATCGCAAAATTTAACAATTTTTACGAGCATTTTACTTTCGGACTAAATTTTGGGTGAAAAAAAAGAAAAAATTATTCAATATATGTACATGTCTATATTCTGCAAATATGAAAAATAAATTTGTACTACAAAAAAGAAATAAAAAAATACCACGCACAGAAACAAGTGTTTTTTTCGTCTTTAAATGGCAACTGTAATCTTCATGAGCGGTATCATCTAGGTATATGAACTATTAATCGAAGTTCATGATAATACATATTATAGATGTGTATAATCCGGTGTTTGCAGGAACAAACTAGTTTTACATAGTATAAATCGTTATACTTAGTCTGGTAAAATAATATAGGGTAAAAGTACGTTTGCACTGATAAGAGTGGGTTTTATTTTGTTAAAAATTGTAAATAGGCTCCTACAAGTTAAGCTGGAAATACATAAAGCGCTTATCTGGCTGGCTTAAGTCATCGGATGGCTTCTTCGGAAATGAACAAAGGAGCCCAGGGCCAAATCGAACTAAGTCAACCTAAAACTCCTTTGTTCATCTACGAAGAAGCCAGCCGATGACTTAAGTCAGCCAAATATGCTCTTTATGTATTTCCAGCCTTAGTAACTATTGTTTTGGCCCTATTATTAGTGGACGGAACAAAGTCATATCTTTCATATTTCCTCCACAATTATAGACTTTTGTGATGTGGAAACCCTTCTCAATATATTTCTATTCTCTTAGGGTGAACAAATATAAAGCGCCATTTGGCTGGCTTGAGTCATCGGCTTTCTTCTTCGCAGATGAACAAAGAGTTTTAGGTTGAGAGAATACATAAAGCGCTTATTTGGCTGGCTTAAGTCATCGGCTGGCTTCTTCGGAAATGAACAAAGGAGCCTAGGGCCAAAATCGAACTAGGTTAACCTAAAACTCCTTTGTTCATTTACGAAGAAGCCAGCCGATGACTTAAGTCAGCCAAATATGCGCTTTATGTATTTCCAGCCTGAGAATACATAAAACGCTTGTTTGACTGGCTTAAGTCATAGGCTGGAAATACATAAAGCGCATATTTGGCTGGCTTAAGTCATCGGCTGGCTTCTTCGTAAATGAACAAAGGAGTTTTAGGTTAACCTAGTTCGATTTTGGCCCTAGGCTCCTTTGTTCATTTCCGAAGAAGCCAGCCGATGACTTAAGCCAGCCAAATAAGCGCTTTATGTATTCCCAGCTTTAGTTCGATTTTGGTCCTAGGCTCCTTAAGGTGAGAGTACATAAAAAGCTTTTCTGACTGGCTTAAAGTTGGGAGTACATAAAGCGTTTATTTGGCATAAGTCTTCGGCTAACTTTTTCGTAGAGAAACAAACAAAATTTTAGCTCGATTTGGACCTAGGCTCCTTTGTTCTTTTCCGAAGAAGCCAGCCAAATTAGCGCTTTATAACGGCTTCTTAGCGCTTTATAACGGCTGCCGAAGAAGCCAGCCGTGACTTAAGCCATTTAAAATAGCGTTTTATGTATTTTCAACTTTAGTTCTTTCCCGATGAAGCCAGTCCAAATAGCGTTTTATGTATTCTCACCTTTATTTGTGTAAAATATTTTGTGACACCTAAAAATTGTAAAAGTTTTTGTTTCCGTTGTAATACGTTATCTAATTAATAAAAATCTCAAGGTTTTCTCGCCTTATATTTTAGCTAATAATATCCAGAATTAAAATACAGGGTGAGATAAAAAACTGCAAAAAAGTCAAACGCCATAATATTTACATTTTTTTTTTTTAATTTTATTGAACGAATGCAAAAAATGTCGAAAACAGCATCAAATTTTAGAATAAGTTTAGATTTGTTCGAATTGGTCATCTTTAGCACGAATTAAGGCCTTCAACGGTCAATGAAAACGCCACACGCTGCCCGAATGTTGCTCTGCTGTATTTTGGCCCATTCCCGGCGAAGCGTTTGCTTGAGGTGAACGACACTTTGGTATTTTTTAGTGCCAACCTTGCTTTCCAAAATACCCCAGACGCAATAGTCCAACGGATCGGTATCCGCAAGATTTTGGTGGCCATTGCGCGCTGGAAATGATGCGAAGAATCTCATTTCGTAACCATTCTTGGTTGGCGCGTGCTGAATGCGATGGTGCTGAGTCCTGTTGGAATGTCCGAGGTCTGCGGCCTAAATGTTTGCCTGCCTAAGGCTTTAATACACCCTCCAAAATATTTTCGCGATAATATTCGGCATTTTTTCTGGTGCCTCGGTCGTTTAATGCGAGCGGAGAGCGACCACCGGCTGTTATGGCGGCCACAAGGTGCACATTTTCAGCTGACCCCTTGGGCAAGTAAACACGATCATTTTGTTTGACTACAAACTGCTGGAGAACGAATGTTTTCTCATCGGAAAAAAACCAAATTCGGCAGTTCACCACTATCGACCAAGCGAAGCAACTCTTTAGCTCTTTTCATTCCATTTTCATTCTGTTCTGGTGTAAGTTCTTGCACTTTTTGGAATTTCAATGGCTCATTTTTCAATTCTTGCCGAATGGAATATTGCGATACGTTCAGCTCACGAGCCATTTTTTGGCCATCGCCACGCGGATTTCGATCAAGTCGCTTCTTTACTTTTGGAACCATTTCTGCTGATGTTGCTCTTTTCTTCCGTCCACTTCCTTGACGTCAGGCTACGAGCGATGGTACGAGACACAAAAGATTTATTCACATTTGAATGCTGGAGTGCGCTAAAGATAGCCACTTGTGATTATCCAGTCATATATAAAGAAATCACATAGTATCACGCTTGAATCCTATCCCGAATAACTTTTTTTCTGGAAAATTCCAACCAAAATGCTTTCGCACGCTTGTAAACAATATAATGAGCTGTCACTGGAATAATTTATTTTTCATCTCACCCTGTATATAAAACAGAGTTGTTCAAGGACAAGAGCTCTCTCGCCAGTCTAATTTCTCTTAAGGTGAGAATACATGAAACGCTTTTTTGACGCTTTTGCTCAAGTCATCGGCTGGCTTCTTCGGAAATGAACGAAGGACCTAGGGCCAAAATCGAACTAAGTCAACCTAAAACTCATTTGTTTGTTACACTACTTTTCCGTTCCCGTACTATTTCACTTATTTTTTTCTGAGAGCATATATACAATTTTAAAGCTATAAATTCTTCTGCGTTGTTTAACATAAATTGTTAAACCATTTTTTCTATTTCACCGATAAAATCAATTTAGCATGTCAAAATTATTAGCTGATAAGGAAAAATCTCCCATTTATGATAATGAGAATATTTCTTCGTTGTTCAGTTAGTGATTGGAGTTGAACGATATCGTCGTCATTCGCTTAAAAAAATTGCAATTGGAAATGAAGTAATTAATTTATAGTTATGGGTTCGAGAAAACACATAGAACTAAAAAGGTAACATTTGGCAAATATATATGTATGTTTAAATTTTTTTCATTCCCATTAAGCCTGTCATGCTTAATGGGAACGCTTTTTAAGTATTCTTAACTTTTTTGACTGGCTAAAGTCATCAGCTGTCATCTTTGTAAAAGAATAAATGAGTTTTAGGTTGACTTAGTTCAATTTCGGCCCATTAATTTATATTTGTTAACCCTACACTCCTTAAAGATGAGAGTACATGAAAAGCGTTTTTGACCGGCTTAAATCATTGGCTGGCTTTTTCGTAAAAAAAACAAGGAGCATAGGGCCAAAGTTGAATTAAGTCAACCTAAGGGTGGAAATAGATAAATCGCATATTTGGCTGGCTTAAGTCATCGACTGGCTTCTTCGTAGATAAAGAAAGGAGTATTAGGTTGACTTAGTTCGATTTTGGCCCTAGGCTCCTTTGTTCATTTCCGAAGAAGCAAGCCGATGACTTAAGCCAGCCAGATAAGCGTTTTATATATTCCAACCTTTAAACTCCTTTGTTTTTTACGAATGAGCCAGCCCTTGACTTAAGCCAGTCAAAAAAAGCTTTCTTTATATTTTCACCTTAACAATCCAATCAGGCAGGTCCGAATAGTTTCCTTACTGAAGCAGTCATCGATAAACCAATACGGCATGAAAAATCCACTGTAATAGTTTTGCCCAACTACGTTATTTTGTATTGGACACGGATTGACCACAATTTGTGTGTTCCCGCACTTTTTTTAATAGTAAAACTAGTAAAAGAGATAAATGTTACATTCGCTCTGAGACATTATTAAATGTCAAAATTTGATAGAAATCCTTTAAAACCTACATTTTAGTCAATCAAAGCTGGCAACACTGCCCCAATTTTGGTCTGTTCCAGAACCTGCAAGAATCTACTAGTTTTGCATGTCTGGAACAGAGCAATAATGATGTGACATGCCATAATGGAGTGTTAAGGTGGGAATACACGACTTAAGCCAGCCACCTTAAAGCTTCTCTCGAATCCTGTCGCTGTTTTCCCTTATAACTTGACTCTAAATGTGAGAGTAAATAAAAGCTTTTATTTGACTGGCTTAAAGGTGAGAGTACATAACAGGCTTTTTTGACTGGCTTAAGACATCGGCTGGCTCCTTCGTAAAAAAACAAAGCAACGTAGGGTTAACAAATATAAATTATGGAAAGAAATTGAACTTAGTCAACCTAATGCTCCATTGTTCTTTTACGAAAAAGTCAGCCTATGACTTAAGCCAGTCAAAAAAGCCTTTTATGTACTCTTACCCTAAAGGTGAGAATACATAAAATGCTTTTTTTAACTGGCTTAAGTCATAGGCTGGCTTCTTCGTAAAAGAACAAAGGAGCCTAGGGCCGAAATTGAACTAAGTCAACCTAAAACTCTATTGTTCCTCTAAGAAGAAGCTAGCCGATGACTTAAGCCTGTCAAAAAAAGCCTTCTATGTATTTTCACTTTAAGTCAATGGCCGGCGTATGGCAGAAGAATACTGGTAGATGCATCAAAGTTTGGGAACATTGATATGTCAATTTTTTAATGCTTTGTCAAAAATAAATGTTTTTTTATACGTTTTTTTATACGACAATTCGGAGGTCTTTATGATATGTATTTTGCAAAAATAAATAAAAACAATTTCAATAATTTTTCGTTCAACATTTTCAATTCCAAAATTGGTTTGACAGTTCATTATCCCAGCAGCTGTGTGGATGCGGCTACCTGTATTCTTCTACCATGAATGAAGTAGTTTTAGGTTGTCTTAGTTCGATTTTGGTCTATCATTTACAAGTCCTTGTTCTTTTACGAAGAAACCAGTCGATGACTTAAGCCAGTAAAAAGGCTCTTTATGTACCTGCACCTTAATGCTGCGATGCCAAGCTGTATTACCAACTTGAGGCTTGCACACCACCCTTTATCTATTTAACAACTCTTACGTCAAAATTTATCCAAAATTATGTAAAAAAATTGTAAACGCCGGTGTAAATAAACGCCCTGTCAATATTTCCCCAAGTTTTTTTAAAGATTCAGTTTTTTCACAAACATTCCTTCGTCACACTTCATCTTCATCCTTTTTTAAAACGTATGTATTTTGTCAAAAAAATAAATAAACTTATATAACTATTTTTTTAAACATCTAAAATTAACAATAAATAACAACTAGATAATGTCATAACAAAATCTTAACAAATACTGTTCACATTTGATTCCTCGTGTGTGTGTATGTTTTTTTAATGAGACATTTTTTTGGGGGATTTTTGTTGATACTTCATCACAGATCTTTGTTTAAGCCATTTGGTTAATTTTCTATTTCATGTTTTAGTTTTTGTTTTTTTTACATATTTACAGTGTATTTTGGAATTGGACGGTTTGCATTTGAATCAATAACCATAAATGTAAATTTGATAGCCGAAGTTGGATGTCTTATTGGCCACCATCAGAATCTCAGCACATGATTTACGAATGCCGCCATCAACGATGTATGCATCAGCTGCCAAGGAGGAGATATAGGTATAGATTGAGATGAAACTAATGTCATTGCCATTGCAAGCGTCACTTGGATAACGTAACAGGACTTCAACGTCTTCATCGCGGGTGTACTGGGTCTCATCCATGAAGGTCAAAATCAAATGGTCACCTGAAATGATGGATTAAGGAGGGAAAACATGAATTAAAAACTTGTAAAGCCATGTTTACGTTAGCCTACTTTAAGAAGATTTATTTGAAGTATGAGTAATGTATATGACAATTTTAATCCAAATGCAGTGGGGTAACCCATTTATATGTAAGGGTACTATAAGTCGATTCATTGTTTAACAATTTGCATCTCCCATGGCTATTTTAATAATACGTTTACAGTTTACCGGACTTAAAGGTGAGAATATATATGAAATGCCGTTTTTGACTGTCTGAAGTCATCGGCTGGCTTATTCGTAGAGGAACAAAGGATTTTTAGGTTGACTTAGTTCGGTTTTGCCCCTAAACTCCTTGGTTCTTTTCCAATGGAGCCAGCCGATGACTTAAGGTGATAATTCATAAAATGCTTTTTTGACTATCCTAGGTCATCAGCTGGCTTCTTTTGAAAAGAACAAAGGAGCCTAGGGCCAAAATCGAATTAACTAAACTTAAAACTACTTTGTTCCTTTATGTATTTTCACCCTAAGGGGGTAAAGCTGGCTAAAGTCATCGGCTGGCTTCTTCGTAGACGAATTTTCTTCGATTTTGGCCCTAGGCTCCTTTGTTCATTTCCGACGTAGCCAGCCGATGACTTAAACAACCTTAAAAGCATGTTTACATTTACGAAATGCACTCGATCTCAAATGTCAATTCCATATCGCATGGCAGAAGAATACAGGTAGTCGGATCGACACAGCTGCTAGGACAATGAACAGATTTTGATATTGAAAATATTGAATGGAAAATTATTGAAATTTGTAGAAATTGTTGAAAAATACATATCATTATTTTTTGACAAAACATTTAAAAAACTGACATATCGATGTTCCAAAGCGTTGATGCATCTACCTGAATTCTTCTACCATACCATATCGTATACGTCAAATAATATTCACTTGATTGAGAGTGACGTGACATATACGCTTTAGAATCGACATTTAAAATTGAGTGGATTTAGTAGTCTAAACGTGCTCTAACAATATAATTAAACTATTGAGAAACCCAAACAAAATTGACTTTTCTTATAGTGAAAAAATAGTTATTTTATGGCATAACAATATTTAATGTTTATTATCTGAGAAACAATTCAATTATTGCCGGAAATTTGTGAATATTTCTGCATATTTCGGCTACAAACCAGCTGTTATGAAATATCAGCTGATGTTTCTTGGCAACTCTAACTGAGTAATACTTTGCCAACCACTCAGTATTTCAAGAGTCATAATTGCTCGTTTTACTCGCTCTCATTTACGGAATTTTTGGGTTATCGAACAACATTTTGTACAAAATATTGAGTTATCGAACACACCTATTATTTGAACTGATGCCATCACTACTGTCTAACAACAAAACGCGATTGATAAACATCTCATCTTCTGCTTTTCAACATTTGTTTCTAAATTGTAAATAAACGCAGGTGCTTGATAATTATACGTTTTTTCATCAATGCATCCGTGTACATTTGTATTTCTTGGAATTTCAACAACACAATTTGTGAATTGAACAACGTGCATATTATGTACATGGGTGAACGTCATTAAATGTTTATAAGTGTAGTGTATTTCAGCGATACACAAAACTATGGTAGAAGAATGCAGATAGCCGCATCTACACATATGGTGGTACAATGAACTGTCAAAGGATATTTTTGAAGTCAAAATGTTGGTTGCAAAATTACTTAGAGAATACATAAAACGCTTTTTTGACAGGCTTAAGTTATCAGCTCGCTTCTTCGGAAAAGAACAAAGGGCCAAAATCGAACTAAGTCAACCTAAAACTCTTTTTTGTTCCTCTACGAACATGGTAGAAAAATACAGTTATTCGCATCAATACAGCAGCTGTGACAATAAAATGTCGAACGAATTTTGGAATGGACAATTTTGAATGAAAATTTATTTAAATTCTTTAAAATTGTAAAATTTTTGGCATATTAAAGTTCCCAAGCGTTGATGTATCTACCTATATTCTTCTACCATGTCTACGAAGAAGGCCGTCGATGACTTAAGGTGGGAATACATAAAGCGCTTATCTGACTGGTTTAAGTCATCGGCTTCTTCGGAAATGAACAAAAAAGCCTAGGGCCAAAATCGAACTAAGATAACCTAAAACTCCTTTGTTTATCTACCAAGAAGCCAGCCAAATATGCGCTTTATGTATTTCCACCCTTAAGCAGGACAAAAAAGCATTTTATATATTTTCACCTTAAAATCAGCATTCAGATTGTGTCACGGAAAAAATTGCAGAGGTGTATATATATTTTTTTTTCATAATTTTACAATTTCTTTGAAAATATTTTTATTTTAATAACATTTTTAAATTTATTATTATTTTTTTTTTGACAATTATACTTGAACTCAATTGTTTTGTCTCGAGGTAAACACATTATTATTATTATTATTATTATTATTATTATTATTATTATTATTATTATTATTATTATTATTATTATTATTATTATTATTATTATTATTATTATTATTATTATTATTATTATTATTATTATTATTATTATTATTATTATTATTATTATTATTATTATTATTATTATTATTATTATTATTATTATTATTATTATTATTATTATTATTATTATTATTATTATTATTATTATTATTATTATTATTATTATTATTATTATTATTATTATTATTATTATTATTATTATTATTATTATTATTATTATTATTATTATTATTATTATTATTATTATTATTACTATTATTATTATTATTATTATTATTATTATTATTATTATTACTATTATTATTATTATTATTATTATTATTATTATTATTATTATTGTTATAATTATTATTATTCTTATTATTATTGTTATAATTATTATTATTATTATTAGTATTAGTATTATTATTATTATTATTATTAATATTAATATTAATATTAATATTAATATTAATATTAATATTAATATTATTATTACTATTATTGCTATTAATGTATTAAATACTAAAGTAACTAAATCGTCCCACCCTATTCTAATTAATGAAAAAAGGCGTGTGTCTGTTTTTAATGCACTACTGCATGTTATCTTGCTACCAATAACTTTCTGTCGTCTCCTCTTTACTTCGCTCCCTCTCTCTCTCTCTATCTCTATTTCTCCCTCTGTCAAAAGTAGCATAATGATATATTACAGTTACGAAAAGCGAGTTGTTGTTCATAGCAAGATAGATAAAGAGATGCCCGAAGCAGGTAAACACTTAGAAATTGTTGTTCCAACTGTTGTAATTGTTTAAGTCCCTGAAATTTACAAGCATGCCACCGTGCCATACATAAACTTGACACCTTTCAGGCAAAAAGCAACAACAATCAACAATGTGCTTTAAATTATCAGGAATATTTGACGTATACACTCACTCTTTGGGGATATCTAAATCGGTCGTCTGTTGATCTACTTTGTAAATATATAATATTATTTGCCAACGACTAAGATTTTTATGAGACACATAGTAAACGCCTCTGTTAAGGAACAGTAAAAATGGAGTATAGAAATAATAGAGACAAAACTAAACGTTCAAATATATAAAAAGTGGTATAATTTATTTCGTATAAGCTATATAAATAAACATGTTAGGATAGGTTTAAAGAGTGCAATCTTTATTTCGTCGAATGCTTTCTGAAGTTATAAATTAAAATAATAGCCTAAGAAAAAAGCGACAGTCAGCTGTTTTAGGAAAAAAATCACAATGTAAATATGTAAAATATTCTTTAAAACATTTTTAGACATAAAAAGCCATTGGGTTACATTTGTCAATTTCATTAAGTATACGTCAAATCTGAAGTCCAGTGGATTTTATTTAAGCTAAAGATGGGAATACATAAAGCGCTTATCTAGCTGGCTTCTTCGGAAGTGAACAAAGGAGCCTAAGGACAAAATCGAACTAACTCCTTTGTTCATCTACGATTTTTTTTTTCAAAATTATTATTTGGACAGCATCTCATTGCGAAAATGTGTATTCATTAATCAATTTAACTTCATTTAAAACAGGTTCCCACCTCTAATTTGTTTACATGTCATCTTGACAATGACATGTAAAAATTCAAATTTTGGGAAAATCAATTCCACTACGGTAAAAACAATTGTTAGCACAATAGGTGTGTCTGTTTACCCTATAATTTTCAAAAATTATTGTAAATTGTTACTGAAAGTCGTCTGTTAACACAAAATTTCAACAAAAATTAAAATTTTTTTCTTTTTGATCAGCTGATTGCTTGCAAGTCCATCTGTTTATTATAACCTCCACCATAGTATGGAGGGTATATTAAGTTTGTCATTCCGTTTGTAACACCTCGAAATATACATTGTAGACTCCACAAAGTATATATATTCTTGATCAGCATAAATGTCGATTTGGAGATATCCGTCCCTCTGTGAAAATCATTCTATCTTCCGAACGAAATAACGTAGGTTGATAAAATTTTGCTCAAATATATATTATGTCTGCAGAACTTTTGGTATTGAAAATGGGTCATGTAGGACCACGTTTTGGTATAGCCGCCATATAATGGTACCTACCTTTTTCGGTATTATTGTGATTTAAGCGACATTATTCACCGGAATTGTTTCAAATTTGGTATTTGAAGTACGTAATACATACTACAGCCTACGACAGAAAATTGTCTGTGCAGGTCCACGTCTTCCTATAGCCCCCATATAACGATACCTCCCGATATTCGGTATTTTGATGATTTCAACAACATTATTTTCCGGAATTGTTTCAAATTTCGTACTGGAAGTTCCTAATGGGTACCACAGCCTATGACAAAAATAAAACGATACCTCCCGATATTCGGTATTTTGATGATTTCAGCAACATTATTCATCCGAATTGTTTTAAATTTCCTACTGGAAGATCCTACTGGATACTACAACCTAAGACAGAAAATTGTCTGTGCAGGTCCACGTCTTCGGTACCTCCCGATACTCCTTATTTTCATTATTTTTGCGACATTATTCACCGTAATTGTAACAAATTTCGTATTTGAAGTTCGTAATGGGCACTACAGCCTATGACAAAAAATTTCGTATACAGGTCCACGTCTTCGTACAATTCCCATATAAAGGTTTTCTTTCCACTTAAATGGTAGTTTTCGGATTTTTTTTTTTAATTTTTCAATTTCATTCGAAATGGTGGAGGGTATTAAAAGCTCGGCCCGTCCGAACTTAGCTTCTTTTTTACTTGTTTTCGATATCATAAGGGGAAAATGGGTTATCGTAGTAAAAACTTTTACATTCTTGCAGTTCTAGAATAGAGCGAATATCTTCATATGTTTCTTTCAAGTCCCGAGCTAAAGGTGAAAATACATAAAACGCTTATTTGACTGGCTTAAGTGATCGGCTGGCTTCTTTGGAAAACAACAAAGGAGTGTAGCGCCAAAATCGAACTAAGTCAACCTAAAACTCCCTTCTTTAAAGACAAAGCCTATGAACATGCCTCTGTTGTGACGATATTATAACAACATAGTTACCAATGTTAACTGATTTAAACCGCTAAGGCAATATGCAAATTTTTGGAAAGGTCTATGGAATAGAATTTTGAAACAAAAATTTCGAAATTTTCAAATTTTTATTTGTTATTCGTTTTTGTAATTGTGGTTTTATATTAACATGTCTCTGTCATATGCTGTTACTCTATGTATTGTAGACACAAACCATTTGCTCAAAATGCATTTAGTCTTTACCATTTGAGGTCTTTGCCTTCTTCCTCTACGAAGAAGCCAGCCGATGACTTAAAGGTGAAAATACATAATAAGATTTTTTGACTGGCTCATGTCATCGACTGGCTTCTTCGTAATGGAACAAAGGAATTTCAGGTTGACTTAGTTCGATTTTGACCCTACGCCCCTTTTTTCTTTTCCGAAGAAGCCAGTCAGAAAAACGTTTTATGTATTCTCACCTTTAAAAAAAAACGTTTTTTTTTTGCCAGGCTTAAGCCATTGTCTCGCTTCTTCGTGGAGGAACAAAGGAGTTTAAGGTTTACTTAGTTCGATTATGGCCTTACGTTCCTTTTTTCTTTTCCGAAGAAGCCAGCCGCTGTCAAAAAAGCATTTTATGTATTCTCCCCTTAAGCCAGTATGTATTCTCACTTTAATTCTTTTTTTCCGTACATAATCGGGAGTTTCTTATTAAAATCTTTTTTCATAATATTTAAGCAATTTTTTATATGTTTCGTTAATTTTGTAGTGAAATGCATTCCAAATTGCAGCACCATTAAATATATAAAAAAAATATTTCTCCAAGATTTTGATTGATTTTCATTCAACACTTCATTCCATATCGGATATTCATATCAACAAACAACAGGAAGAACATTCATTGTAAAACGATAATTAATGGGAGCGCGGAGATAATTATGTATGCTGATAATTTTATTGTTTTTGTTTTTCTTAATTGTGTGTAAGGAAATTGTAGAGGAAAATTTACGACATTTACCATCGATACGTTCGCCAGTTGTAAAAATAACATTGCCCTTGGCGTAATATTCCTTGTTGAAGACTACCGGATTGACATCCGGGTGCTGGACAAAATAACGCGTCTCATTTGTTACCGTTACAATGCCGCTATGTTTAATTTCGTCCGACGAGACATTGCAAATAAAAATACCGCTACCGGCAATGAAGAATAGGAATGCAGTTATTAAGGCGCGCGATTGCATTTCTTTGGAGGTGTTGGAAGAAAATTTCGAGAATTTTTTTTTGCACCGTTACTAGTAGCTGTTTTCACACTTATGTTCCGAGAACGATTGAATTCGACCATTGACAAAGAGAAGGTTTTTATATTTTAAAAAGGCAAAACCGATCGTCAACGACACAAACGCCGTCGTTTAATGTTATCTTTTCTTTAAAGCGCCATTAACAGTGATTGCGCGGTGTAGTAGTAAAATCCCCTTCTAAGGCAAAAGCTTTGACACTTACTAGATTCGGCGGTATATCTTTTCACATATCTGTATATAGAGGGCTTATCAGGTGGCATTAAGATATGTCGTGGAAATTTGCCATGGGTTTTATTTCAATATTGCCCCAAGTGTTTTTTTTTTAACAATATCTATTTTCTTTCGCTTTGTTGATAGCTGGGAAAGTTTTAAAATGTCTATCAGCAGAAAAAAAACAAGTGACTAAAACGTCACTCACTCATTTCAAAGGGTTATAGACTAAATTGAAAACAAGTGACAATTATAAACTAATGTATTTTTAATTTGTAAACATTCAATTACTTCAGCATTTTAGTTGCCGTAAATAGTCAGACAAACAAGTTTCAATATAAATATATGAGAATATCTAAGAATATACCCACTTGAGATTTGTTTGGGTTAATTTTCATAAATATCTTGATCTAGCGTCTATCTGAAGTGGGTCCACACTTTCAGATTAATCAGATTTTTGACACATTGTCGTACATAAACAGCAAAAAAATTAACTTAATCTTTTAAATATTTTATAGTGCGATTTAATTTAATTCCGGGCATAAAGCGATTTATTTTTCTTTGGTAAGTTAGCTAAATTACGATTAAGCAATCAATCCTAATAATATAGGTACATCCGGATAGAAAGTTGTATTTAATAGCTTTTTTTCTGAATTAAGATGAAAATACATAAAACGTTTTTCTGACGCTTTTTCTGACTTGCTCAAGTCGTCGACTGGCATCTTAGTAGATGAACAAAGGAGTTTTAGGTTGATTTATTTAGATTTTCGCTCCTTTGTTCTTTGAAGGCAGTCAAAAATGCTTTTTATGTGTTCTCACCTTAAAAAATAGTAGCATGTTTGCCAGCTTCTGATTGGTTGAATTTGGATTTTGAGATATTGCAAACTTATATTGACATTTTTAATAGATTCTGTTCCGGTATTTTCTAGGCAAGAAGATGTCTCAGAGCGAATGTAACAGCTTTCTCTCTCTCTCCCTCTCTTTCTCTCTCTCTCCCTCTCTTTCTCTCTCTCTTTACAATTCCAAGGGTGAGAATACATAAAACGCTTTTCTGACTGTCTGAAGTCATCGGCTTCTTCGGAAATGAACAAAGAAGCCTAGGGCCAAAATCGAACTATATCAACCTAAACAGAAAATTATTTTAATTATTTTTTTATTTTATTTTATTTTTTTTTTGGATTTGGATATCTAGTAAATTCAAATTGAATAGTCTAAATGGGCTATAAGTCGCCTGACTTTCAATGCTAGAGAGTGACGGTAATATAAAGGTGACAGACACATAAGCAACATGTCAATAGGTACTTCATGGCCCAACTATAAAGGTGAGAATACATAAAACGTTTTTTAATTGGTTTTTGTCATCTGCTGGCTTATTCGGAAAAGAACATAGAGCATTGGACCAAAATCAAACAAAGTCAACCTAAAACTCCTTTGTTCCCATGGTAGAAGAATACAGTTTGTCGCATCGACACAGCTGCTGGGACAATGAAATGTCAAATTGAATTTGAACATTTGAATGAGAAATTATTCAAATTTGTAAAAATTATTAAAAAATCCAAACTGCGATCAGTGTCGTAAGAAAACTTTGAGGCATTGGGAACAGTGATATGTCAAAAATTTTAATATGTTTTTTTTTAAGAAAGAAAAATAAAAAAAATTTAATATGTGTTTTTACGTTTTTTTACAGTTTTAACGAATTTTAATAATTGTTAATTGTTAACAGTTCATTGCTTTAGCAGCTGTGTCGATGCAATTACCTGTATGCTTCTACAATGGTTCATCTAATGGCAGAAGAATACAGGTAGATGCATCAACGCTTGGAAACATTGATATGTCAAAAAATTCTAGATGTTATTTCAAAAATAAGTAGATTTTTATATTTTTTCTTACACGACGTCATTCAGAGGTTATTATAAATCATTTTTCAACATTTTTACAAATTCAAATAATTTTTCATTCAACATTTTCAATTCCAAAATTTGTTTGACAGTTCATTGTCCCAGCAGCTGTGTCGCACCCATGGAATTGAAAATGTTGAATGAAAAATTATTTAAATTTGTAAAAATTGTTGAAAAACGCGAATTATAACAGCCTCCGAATGACGTAGTATATGAAAGTATATGAAAATGTACTTATATTTGAAAAAACATTTAAATTTTTTTGACATATCAATGCTCCCAAGAGTTGATGCATCTACCTGTATTCTTCTGCCATGATAGCACCTTAAGGCTCCATCAGACGGAATGTTGTTTACATATCGTGTGATACATGGACGTCATTTCAGTTGTAAAATACGTCAGTAAAGTATATACATATGTACTTTTCCGAAATTTATGTAAAATTTCTTATGTCTCCAAATTAGCTTATCGTTACAAAATTTTTGGATTTTTCCTGGATGCTCTTTTGATTGGGTATGAATAAACATAAACAAACATCACCGAAACTGCATTTAAATCCTTCTAAAACGTCGTACGCACGTAATAAATCGGGTGGATTTCAGAGTATGTTTCTCGATTTAGTAGATGTAAACCTACTTTAAGGATGTATATAGACCATGGTAAAAGAATACAGGTAGATGCATCAACGCTTGGGAATGTCAAAAATTAAAAAAAAAAAAAACAAGATTTTTATATGTTTTCTTATACTACACCAATCGCAGATTGTTATAATAGCATTTTCAATAATTTAAAAAAATTGTACAATATTTCACTCAATATTTTAAATTCTAAAATAGGTTTGACAGTTCATTGTTCTAACTGCAGTGTCGATGCGACTACCTGTATTCTTCTATCATGATGCAAGCACACAAGGTTAAGAGCACGTTTAGACTACTACTACTATTATATTCACTCTATTTCTAATATCAATTCCATAGCGTATACCTCGTATTCATAAATCCTGTGGTTATTATTTGACGTTCATGCTATGGAATTGACATTTGAAGTCGTGTGGATTTCGTAACCTTAACAAGTATAAACACGCAATACGAATTATGGCTGTTTATTTAATTGTGGATATGCTCTCATCACTAAATCGTGTATATCCAAAAGTAAATCATAAAAATTATTTCAAAGGAATCATCGCGAAAAATAACACCTTTACTTTATGATCTACTATTAAGAACGGGAGTGTGTTGAGACTAATTAAAGCGTACAATGACGCTTTAGAACTTATCTGACATTAGATTATTGTGGCGCGTTTTATATGTTTGCCATTTTTTTTTTTTTGGCACGATAACAAATATCAAGGTGTAAACTTATCAGTTCATAATTTTTAACTGATTTTAATCAGAAAACGTGTTTTTAAGAAAAAGTCTTTATAACTAGTCTATTTATGAGAGTTTCACACTTATTTCAGTAAACAAAGAATCATTTCTATCGTTATACGCAATGGCATATAAACATCATAATAAATCGGCTTTAAAACAAAATGAAAGTCTCGATTGAAAGCAGACATTGTTTTTAAAAAAAGTCAACAAATATTTCCATAGCGGAATATACAGCTGGATGCACCAACGCTTGGGAACATTGATATGTCAAAAAATTTAAATGTTCTATCAAATATAAGTAGATTTTTATATGTTTTCTTATACGACGCCATTCGGATGTTATTATAATTCGCGCTTTTGGACAATTTTTGTAAATTTAAATAATTTTTCACTCAACATCTTCAGTTCCAAAATAGGTTTGACAGTTCATTATCCCAGCAGCTGTGTCGATACGTCTACCTATATTCTTCTACCATGAATATTTTCCATAGTTAAATTTGTGATTGGTCAATTATAAAGCTTAACCTGGATAAGGTTAACTTTTATATAAATCATGTTAGGAAAATACAGGTAGATGCATCAACGCTTGGGAACATTGATACGTCATTTTTATAAGTTTTCTTATACGACGTCAATAAGAGTATGTTATGATGTGCTTTTTTCAACAATTTTGACGAATTTGAATAATTTGGCATTCAAAATGTTCAATTTTAAAATTGGTTTGACAGTTCATTGTCACAGCAACTGTGTAGATACTACCTGTATTCTTCTACCATTATATAATCAATGCTCATTATCTGTCTTTGACATCTTTAAGTAATAATGCGTTTAAAGTAATGAAAAAAGGTGTAACTTGAGCGTGTAAATGCAATAATGATGCCACATGTATGTAGCTCACAACAGTGTTGCATTTTTCACGTTTCGTTCAACATAAATTGGCAACAGTGTTGTAATTTCACGCCGAAGTCACGATTTAAGCTTTAATTTGTTTCAACCTTCACAGTTTTGTCATAAAAATATGATCAGTAATGTTTCAATTCTCATTTTCATGGTATAATTAACAAAGTAATCACATTTGCCAAATCGGTAACGTAACCTCGAAATAAACATTTCAGACCCCACAAAGTATATGCAGGGTGAGATGAAAATACTGGAACAGACTGTTGTCATTTCTAAGCCTATCGTCCGACAGCTGTTAAAATTATTCCAGTGACAGCTCATTATATTGTTTACAAGCGTACAAAACCATTTTGGTGAAAATTTTACAGAAAAAAAGTTGTTCATGACGGAATTCAAGCGTGATGGTGGGATTTCTTTATATTTGGCTGGAAAAACACAAGTGACTATCGTTAGAGCACTCCAGCATTTATATGTGAATAAATCTTTTGTGTTTCGTACCATCGCTCGTTACCGTGATACTGGTAGTACCGTGATACTGGTCAACGGAAAAACACAGCAACATCAGCAGAAATGGTTCGAAAAATAAAGAAGTGACTTGATCGAAACCCGCGTCGCAATGGCCGAAAATGGCTCGTGAGCTGAACATATCGCAATATTCCATTTAGGA